ACAAAGATATGAACTAAGATATGAACTAGAACTTAACTAGATTTGAACTAGAACTGAACTAGAACTGAACTAGAACTGAACTAGGACTGAACTAGAACTGAACTAGAACTGAACTAGAACTGAACTAGATTTGAACTAGAACTGAACTTGAACTGAACTTGAACTGAACTAGAACTGAACTAGAACTGACTAGAACTGAACTAGAACTGAACTAGAACTGAACTAGAACTGAACTAGAACTGAACTAGAACTGAACTAGAACTGAACTAGAACTGAACTAGAACTGAACTAGAACTGAACTAGAACTGAACTAGAACTGAACTGAACTAGAACTGAACTAGAACTGAACTAGAACTGAACTAGAACTGAACTAGAACAGAACTGAACTAGAACTGAACTAGAACTGAACTAGAACTGAACTAGAACTGAACTAGAACTGAACTAGAACTGAACTAGAACTGAACTAGAACTGAACTAGAACTGAACTAGAACTGAACTAGAACTGAACTAGAACTGAACTAGAACTGAACTAGAACTGAAGAACTGAACTAGAACTGAACTAGATTTGAACTAGAACTGAACTTGAACTGAACTTGAACTGAACTAGAACTGAACTAGAACTGAACTAGAACTGAACTAGAACTGAACTAGAACTGAACTAGAACTGAACTAGAACTGAACTAGAACTGAACTAGAACTGAACTAGAACTGAACTAGAACTGAACTAGAACTGAACTAGAACTGAACTAGAACTGAACTAGAACTGAACTAGAACTGAACTAGAACTGAACTAGAACTGAACTAGAACTGAACTAGAACTGAACTAGAACTGAACTAGAACTGAACTAGAACTGAACTAGAACTGAACTAGAACTGAACTAGAACTGAACTAGAACTGAACTAGAAACTGAACTAGAACTGAACTAGAACTGAACTAGAACTGAACTAGAACTGAACTAGAACTGAACTAGAACTGAACTAGAACTGAACTAGAACTGAACTAGAACTGAACTAGAACTGAACTAGAACTGAACTAGAACTGAACTAGAACTGAACTAGAACTGAACTAGAACTGAACTAGAACTGAACTAGAACTGAACTAGAACTGAACTAGAACTGAACTAGAACTGAACTAGAACTGAACTAGAACTGAACTAGAACTGAACTAGAACTGAACTAGAACTGAACTAGAACTGAACTAGAACTGAACTAGAACTGAACTAGAACTGAACTAGAACTGAACTAGAACTGAACTAGAACTGAACTAGAACTGAACTAGAACTGAACTAGAACTGAACTAGAACTGAACTAGAACTGAACTAGAACTGAACTAGAACTGAACTAGAACTGAACTAGAACTGAACTAGAACTGAACTAGAACTGAACTAGAACTGAACTAGAACTGAACTAGAACTGAACTAGAACTGAACTAGAACTGAACTAGAACTGAACTAGAACTGAACTAGAACTGAACTAGAACTGAACTAGAACTGAACTAGAACTGAACTAGAACTGAACTAGAACTGAACTAGAACTGAACTAGAACTGAACTAGAACTGAACTAGAACTGAACTAGAACTGAACTAGAACTGAACTAGAACTGAACTAGAACTGAACTACAACTGAACTAGAACTGAACTAGAACTGAACTAGAACTGAACTAGAACTGAACTAGAACTGAACTAGAACTGAACTAGAACTGAACTAGAACTGAACTAGAACTAAACTAGAACTGAACTAGAACTGAACTAGAACTGAACTAGAACTGAACTAGAACTGAACTAGAACTGAACTAGAACTGAACTAGAACTGAACTAGAACTGAACTAGAACTGAACTAGAACTGAACTAGAACTGAACTAGAACTGAACTAGAACTGAACTAGAACTGAACTAGAACTGAACTAGAACTGAACTAGAACTGAACTAGAACTGAACTAGAACTGAACTAGAACTGAACTAGAACTGAACTAGAACTGAACTAGAACTGAACTAGAACTGAACTAGAACTGAACTAGAACTGAACTAGAACTGAACTGAACTAGAACTGAACTAGAACTGAACTAGAACTGAACTAGAACTGAACTAGAACTGAACTAGAACTGAACTAGAACTGAACTAGAACTGAATTAGAACTGAACTAGAACTGAACTAGAACTGAACTAGAACTGAACTAGAACTGAACTAGAACTGAACTAGAACTGAACTAGAACTGAACTAGAACTGAACTAGAACTGAACTAGAACTAGAACTGAACTAGAACTGAACTAGAACTAGAACTGAACTAGAACTGAACTAGAACTGAACTAGAACTGAACTAGAACTGAACTAGAACTGAACTAGAACTGAACTAGAACTGAACTAGAACTGAACTAGAACTAAACTAGAACTGAACTAGAACTGAACTAGAACTGAACTAGAACTGAACTAGAACTGAACTAGAACTGAACTAGAACTGAACTAGAACTGAACTAGAACTGAACTAGAACTGAACTAGAACTGAACTAGAACTGAACTAGAACTGAACTAGAACTGAACTAGAACTGAACTAGAACTGAACTAGAACTGAACTAGAACTGAACTAGAACTGAACTAGAACTGAACTAGAACTGAACTAGAACTGAACTAGAACTGAACTAGAACTGAACTAGAACTGAACTAGAACTGAACTAGAACTGAACTAGAACTGAACTAGAACTGAACTAGAACTGAACTAGAACTGAACTAGAACTGAACTAGAACTAACTGAACTAGAACTGAACTAGAACTGAACTAGAACTGAACTAGAACTGAACTAGAACTGAACTAGAACTGAACTAGAACTGAACTAGAACTGAACTAGAACTGAAACTAGAACTGACTAGAACTGAACTAGAACTGAACTAGAACTGAACTAGAACTGAACTAGAACTGAACTAGAACTGAACTAGAACTGAACTAGAACTGAACTAGAACTGAACTAGAACTGAACTAGAACTGAACTAGAACTGAACTAGAACTGAACTAGAACTGAACTAGAACTGAACTAGAACTGAACTAGAACTGAACTAGAACTGAACTAGAACTGAACTAGAACTGAACTAGAACTGAACTAGAACTGAACTAGAACTGAACTAGAACTGAACTAGAACTGAACTAGAACTGAACTAGAACTGAACTAGAACTGAACTAGAACTGTAACGTAATCATTAAAAATGGCGGGCGGGCGATAGTGCAATTTATGATCGCGAAATTTCTGATATTTCACAAGTTACGAAAATTTTACTTATTTGTTCTTTCATTAAAGTAGAAATCATATTCTTGGCTAATACAATTTTTTTATGCATAACCCTATTAAATACCGAACAAAACAGTATTTGAACCCAATGAAAACTTCGAATCTCGACTTATACCCAGATTTTTGCTCTGTATGGCAATTGAAATAAAACTGTTTCGCTTTGGTCTTTTATGGAAGGAAATGTCAATGTAAAATAAGATTTCAAACTATGGCTTAAGATAAATATTTTTTAAAAACATTTTGATTGGGTTCGAGTCGCTAATAAGTAAAAAATAAAATAAAATGAGATAATTAAAAAACTTTTAAGACTTCATGACAACTTAGTTGTTCAAGTATTTTTTTTATATAAAAGCAAAAAAAGAAAATACTTATTATAATACATGAGTAAAAATAAGCTTTTAATTTAATTTCATTAAGTTATTTTTTTTTGTTCGAGAAAGTAGTAAAACTTTACGGTGTGTGACAAATCATTTTCCTTATTGGGTGAATTTGTTTTTGTGCTGTTTCTGTGTATTTTTTTAGTTTTAATTTGTTCATTGCTTTTTGCCTAAGTACAATTAACATAAATTTTAGGTAAAACATCTAATGAATCTCAGTCAATACTTTATCGAAGTATGGTGATTATTTTATGGACTGGTTAGTTTTTTTTTTTTTTCAAAATGTGTTTGTTTGGTAATACAACCATCCTACGCATTAATTTCAACAAAAAGTTAAATAAAAATATGTATAACAATGTTAATGATTGAATTCAATTTTAATCGTATTTAAGCTGTGATATTCCTTTTTAATATCCTTGCTGTTTTTTAAAGCATTATTAACAGTTACCATGATTTTACTATACAATAAGCATTTAGGAAAGGGATTTAATTACTGTTTTACCTTTGAAACCGTTTTACCATTGAGTTGTAGCTTAATCTAGCAGTAATGCCAACTATATGAATTTAAGTAGAAAATTATTTATTATATATAGAAAATTAATTATTATATTCCACTTTAAACTAAAAATAATTTTTTATTAAAAATTATTTTTTTATTTTATATAACTATCCTGCCGGTTCTGGACGAAATTCCTCACATTTCCTTATCGGGTCAATAGAAATAAATAATTCACTTTTAGTCCAATATTAAAGAACTTTCGAAAATTGTAGAAGTTTTCTTTCCTTTTAATATCTTCCTGGATCAATATTTTTACTAACTACGATTTGTAGTTCATTCGAGCAAAATACCTCAATGTAGAACTTAGTTCAGAACAATCAGTTCTCAGATGATCTCACCTATTTCAATTGATTAGGTGAAATTGCTTTAAAAGCTGTCGGACGTAAACAGGAAACTCAAAACACTTCTCACGAATTCATATGCGCATTCTGAACTTTTCCAAAAATTGTGTCTAGTTTTTCATAATTTTGTGAAAAATAAACACATTTTAATTAAAACTAAAATTTTCCATTTATTCAAAAACGCATTTTTATAATTCAAAAGTACCTATTTAATCTTTCAAAAACATTTCTATCAACACAAATTTCCGCTACATTGACAGCACTGCTAGTAACACACTACCAAATTTAGTGGCTTCTTTCTAACCCCTAATTTCAAGCTGTGCGAAAGAGACAACACTACTAGACTTACGAAATACAAGAAGCAAAGCATATGACGAAGAAGACGAAGAAAAAAAATAACTGATCGTACATGAAAGCGAAATTTTTAGCTCACATCTTTTCAGTTTTATTTTTCAACTCTCTGGGATCGGTTATCGTAACGTAAATACGAATAAAAGTAGAAAAATCAAAGCAAAACTGATTTAACTAAAAAGGAATGAATTAAAGAAACAAAAAACAATTTATGAATTTTAAATACACCTTCAATTAAAAAAGAAATTTTCAATAAATTAAATAAGAATTTTAAAAAATAGCAAAAATGTAAGAAGAAATTGTGGAATTGTGTGGATGGATAAAAATATAGAGAAAGAAAAGAAGACAAAGTTTTTTTTCTTTATTGTGAAGTGAAATAAATACAGCAACAACATTAAAAGTAGTACAACTAAAAATATGAAATTAGAAAAAAAAACACCCACAAAGTGCAAAAATAATAAAAAAGAAATGTTTCTACAGCAAACACACCTTTAAGAATTTGAATGTTAAAAATACTTTGTGCTTTTTGTTGTTGGAAGTATTAAAAATTTTATAGAAAGAAACTGTAGTGAAATTCTTTTGACAATTTTTTTTCTTAGTTTTCTTTTTCATACATTTTTCACTTTCGTAATCCGTTTTAGGCTTGTTGTTTGTATTCGTAGTAATACGTACCGTATCGTACCGAAACGTGTGAACGTAAAAACGCTGAAACAAACACACACGCTTGTGATGTTGCAATGAATTTTTAAGATGAAATTGAAAATTTAGAATATGTTCGTTCTAAGGGAAATTTTCCAAAACAAAGAAAGTCCTTTTTGTTTAAATTGTTTTAAAAATAGCATTCTATTTATAGTAAAATTTTTATGGAAATGTTTTTTAAAAAAAAAACAGCATCCTTTTTCGGTTTTTTTTATTCCTTTTTTGCTGTAAATTCGTTGTAACAGCAAGAATTTTGTTTTGATTCTTTTTTTACATGCACATCTTATTTTCTCTTTCTTTTCCATTCTCTCCCTCTCATTATTATCATTACTTGTTCTCTTTTTTCTCCAATGTTCTGTTACAAATTTGTTGTTGTGTTGTGTGTATGTGTTGTTTTTTCATCTTATTTTTGTTGTTGCTTTCTGTGTGTATTTATAAAGTGGATTAATCATTTATTTTACAATTTATTTTCTTCATATTAAATCAATTTTTATTTTAGATCGCGTTTCTTATTTATTTCTCTTTCGATTTTCTTCTTAATAAAATTTAAAGAAAAATTCAAAAGAAAACACAGAATCCCTTTGAAACATTCCAATTCATTTTGAATGTTTTTTTTTTAACTTTTTTCTTTAAGCAAATGATCTTGTTGTTGTGAATAGAGTGTATGCATATGGGAGAGAAAAAAAGTTAGTGATTTTGGTGGGTGTATTTCTTGTTATTGTTGTTCTGTCAGTTTGCTGTGTTGGTTTCACTTACAAATTCTTAAAAAAAAAAAACTTTGTATCTTCTTTAATCATTCTCTAGACAAGTTTATAAACTGAATTAATAAAACAATTAATTAAAAAAAACATTTTACTAATTAATTTATTTCAAATTCCAGCATTTAAAAATCTACAAATTTAACTTCCAAAAAGGAAAAGCAGAAAACAAAGTGTGTTAAATATTGAAACTTAATAAATCATTTAAAAGGAATTCTTTTGCCAACTTACAAAAAGAATTAAAAATAAAATATTTGTGCAATAATTACAAATCAAAAATTATTTGTTAAACAACTTAAGAAAAACGAAACTAAATATTAGTTTCAATAAATTTTTCTTGTAAAATTTAACAAAGTTTAAGTAAAAAACGCAACTTTTCGCCACTACTACTAAAATCGTTTAACGATACAAAAAAAAATAATAAATTTTTCTTTCTAAAACTGTTAATAAAAACAATACCAAAATTTTTGTCACAATGAGTGTGTGTGAAAATAGCAACTCAGTTGTTCAACAACATCAGCAGCAAGTTCCGCCACAGCATCTGCAAGCGGCTCAACAACAGCAGCCCCAGCTGCAAGCAACAGCAGCAAACCCAACAGCAAAGTACACAAGTATTGCTGATTATTTGGCTCAGCTACTTAAGGATCGTAAACAGTTGGCTGCATTCCCAAATGTTTTCAATCATGTCGAACGTCTACTTGACGAAGGTAAGTTGTGGACTTTTAAACATATTGCAATTATTTTTAATAGAAAATTAGAAAAAAATATGTATATTAATGGCAAATAGCCAATGTTGGAACAAATATTTCGCTAGTAGATTGGAAAATTTTACTATTTGAAGGAAACTTTTAGAATGTCTTTGAGAATTTCAAAATAATTAGTATACTTTAAACCCTTTTTTCTTCGGCTTTACCTTCCAACTTTTACGGAGGAGAACTTTTAAGTTCTAACATTCATTTGATGTCGACTTTAAAATGGCGATGTGCTAAGTATATGAAATTGATATTTGCGTTTATTCTGTGATAGATCACTGATCTATACTAAAAAAAACAGTGGTCAAACATAATTGTTTTACTTTATATAAAATTTGTGAAGTTTATAGTTTAGTTTCGTCCAAATGTTGTAAATATTCAAAAATTTGCCAAAAACAGACTTTGTATCGATTTGTATGTAATCTGTTTCGACAAAACATTATCCAAAACTTTTTCAATTATCAATATTTTGTCTAATTTCGAAATAAAAACCAAATTTCACCACAATACGAATGCCAAAGCAAATATTCAATTGAATTTTAAGATTTTACAATGTTTTTTATATAAAATTTACATCTTGATTTCTTTTAAAACATTCGATTATTAACATTTTATGGTTTTTAAAAGATCTTAACATTAAAAAAGAATCATTGTTTCTTATTATTTTTCTAATTTTTAAAATTATATTTATGTTTAAAATATTATAAAAATTAAATTTACAATGTAATTGTTGAACAACAAGTAGTATTTTTGTAAATAAATTAATTTAACTATAAAAGTTTATGGTTTTCAATGAACTGCAACTGCTATTCTTGATGTTTGTCTGTGGTAATATAAATTTATTACTTTTTTCTATAAATTGTTAACATTTTATTTTTGTTTTTTAAACATAAAATCTTTTAACAACTGTTTTGTTTTACACATATAGATTTTAAAAGTATGTAGTTATTGTTTAGGTTTTGCTTTATTTTATGATAAACTTTTTAAATTAGTATAAAAAGTTTGTGGCAAAATTTTAAAAGTAAGATTAATATTTAATAAATCTTTGATAAGAATTTTTTAGATCCAATTCTTCTTTAATTTAAAAAATATACATATCTTTAAGTTCATTAGCGTTTTTTCTGTGTTTTGTGTCACAATTTCAAAATTGATTGTAATGCAATTTATTTATTCTTAATCCACCATTTTTTTATTAAATATTTCTTACTCTTTTGGTTAGAAATTATTTGTTGTTTTGTTTTATTTCAATTTCAATATCAATTACTAATAGTATGCAAGACCATGCTAGAAAACCATATTGTATCGTATGCTACGTTTAATAATACTAATAAAATATTAAAAAAAAAAGAAAAAATAATAATAAAATAATATCAATAATAAAAGAACATCATCATTTACCATTTAGTATAAATATTTATTTAACAATACAAGTACTTACGCACTCATACATTCACCTACAAAAATTGTATTTTGTTAAATTCCTCTGCATGCCGCCTACTAACTGATCTAACTGAATGACTACTCATTACACACAAGCCATACTTGTCTTGTATACATTCAGCTAACTTACACATATATTGAATATTTATTAGAGGCAACAGCAGCAGTAGAGAAACAGAGATATAAAGAATTATATTTAAATACATTAAAGAAAAAAACTTTGTCTCGTTGCATATGTGTGAAATACCTACATTTGTTGATATTTATTTTCAAATTAAATATCTTTTTTTTCTTAAACGACATATCATATGAAAATGTACAACAACAATGCAAGTATATTGTAGTAATATCAAATATATAAAAAATTCTTAAACAGCTAAAAAATAACGCAAAGGAAAACCGTGTTTTTCTTCTGCTATTGTTATTCTGACCGTCCGTCTGTACGTTGTGTCTTTTGTCTGTTTGTTGTTTTGTTTGTATTTTATGATGATCACAAATAAAACAACATTTCAGTTTCATTCCACCTTCTCTTTTAACACGATAGAATGAGAGAGTTTTCTTAATGTAGTTTATATTTGGATTATTGTACGTGCGTATTTTTTGAAGTTTTTTTCTTCTTATTTTCATTTACAGAACTTTAAGAGTTTTCTTTCTACATTCCAAGTTTTTAAAATTTAAGATTCCATTTCTACATATCAGGTATTTTAACACATGTCAGATCTTAAGATAGATCCTTTTTCCTTAATACTCTCAAAGTGTTTTTCAAGTTTGTTTTACTTATCTACAATTACTTTGCCTATCGGTTTCCATTTTCTAAGTTTTTATTGTACTTTTGTGAGTGAGAGAAAGAACGGATTCCTTTACTCCCTATGATATCTCAACATTTTTGTCAAAATCTAAGCATTATAGTTTTAAAACAATTTTATCATGCACAATGAACTATAAATATGGTCCAAATTTTAAATATAAATATGTCTGAAGTTGCCAACGAAATATACCTATATAGAGATATCGATCTTTATTTAATGTTCTAATAAAAGGATGTTTTTTGCCATAACAGCTTATCGACTTTGCTTGCAAACCCTGGGACCGAATTGTCTCTTGTAATGATCGGGTGATATTGACAGTAATTTTAATAGTTTCAGTTCTATTTCATTTCCAGTTCAGCTCTAATTCAGTTCAATTCAAACAATTATTTTTAAATGTTTAATTGGAATGTAAATTAAAAAATTTGTTTCTTTCACAAACCCTGTCCTTGGGTATTTACTTAAAATAAACGAATAATCTACTTGGTACATTATTACTTATTTTCTTTTCTTTTAAAACTATGATGGTCTTTTACATCCTCTATTTTTTCTTTTGATTTAAGGGCTGGCTGGTTGCTGCTTGACTATTGGACTAGACACAAAAAGACAAACAGACAGACAGAGAAATACACCTTACGTTTTGATAATATATTTCAACTTTTGTTGTTTTTTTCTAGATCAACTTTGTCTCATGAATTCTTGGGTTTTATAACGTTCAATGTATTCTAGTGATGCTCATAATGATGTTTATTAAACGCGTCTGTTTGTTTATTTTTTCCTCTTCCTACTCCCCTTTCCAAATATTTAAATAGACAAAAAAAAATCTCTGAGCATGGGGTAGCTTCTTTTTTTGTTTTTATTTCTGCTTTACATTTTCCGGCTTTTTAGGTTTATTGTATTTAATTTTTTTATCTTAAAATATATTTTTTTAATACTGTTTATTTTACGATAAATTGTTGAGAAAAAAAAATGAACGTCCTTGAAACATTGAACAACAACGGCTGCTATTTGAAGAGTAGAGTGGGGGTCACATATACATAAACTGGAGGGTTAGGTATTCTTGTTGTCTTCTATTACTAGACTAAAATAGAAATAGAATTATTAAATTATACGGACAGCAACAGCAGAGTTTGGCTGCTGCATTCATAAACAATCTTATTAAGTACTGAGAATAAATAGTTTAGGAGTAGGTATGTATGTATGTGTTTTACGTAGGTAACCAGAGTATTAAGTGGATGCCTGTTAGGCTTTTGTTGTAGTGTGTGTGTGTTTTCTTGGTTTCTGTAGGAATATCACATTTTTTGTTATTTTATATTTTGATAATCTTTTAATGGTATTTAAAGTGCCACAAACTTTTTTGTTTTAATTTAAAAATAATTTCATGTTTTTTATTATTAATTTCCTTTAGGTATTCAAAATAAGAATTTTTTTTAGGATTGAAAATCCTCTGATCTGCGACTTGTTGTTCCATGATTTGAAGCTTGTAAAGTGTCTTGCTTTTATTTTTTTAATTTTTGTTAGTTTTTCTGTTAATTTTTACTTTTTTTAAGAGAACTATCAAATCTTGTTTAAAAAATAAAAATTAACAGAAAAACTAACAAAAATTAAAAAAATAAAAGCAAGACACTTTACAAGCTTCAAATCATGGAACAACAAGTCGCAGATCAGAGGATTTTCAATCCTAAAAAAAATTCTTATTTTGAATACCTAAAGGAAATTAATAATAAAAACATGAAATTATTTTTAAATTAAAACAAAAAAGTTTGTGGCACTTTAAATACCATTAAAAGATTATCAAAATATAAATATAACAAAAAAATGTGATATTCCTACAGAAACCAAGAAAACACACACACAACTACAACAAAAGCCTAACAGGCATCCACTTAATACTCTGGTTACCTACGTAAAACACATACATACATACCTACTCCTAAACTATTTATTCTCAGTACTTAATAAGATTGTTTATGAATGCAGCAGCCAAACTCTGCTGTTGCTGTCCGTATAATTTAATAATTCTATTTCTATTTT